TAGCAAAGAGATCGCGAATTAAGACGGTTCAGATCTACGAAAAAAAGTTTGACAACAAATTTTTCGAGTTTATTGGACTGAAGGATGAAACTATTGCGAAAGCAAAATTATTTGTTTCGTATCGCGACGACGAGAAGCTTGGATTTTCGCAATTTAAAAATTGTCATTCCGATTTGAACGCCGGCGAGGAATGGAAATGAATTACAGAAAGTAGGTGGAAAACTATGAGACTGAAATATCACGGAAATATAAATTTTATGCTTTATTCCGAGCAAGCTTCAAGGGGTCTGACTTGAAATGGCTTCGACCCTACAAATGTCAGCAACAATAGAGAAACGGTAGTGGCAAACAATATTTCTTTGAAACGGTCTACAATTTCTAGATCCTTTGACCGATATGTAATTTCGTCCTGTTGCTTTCCTAACTTCTGAAGCGTACATTTGCACATTTATTATGTCACGTTATATAATAACATTTCAGAATTCTATCGCACTATTCCTCGATTTGTACTTTCAAGCTTTATCATTGACGCTTGTATCTATTTTTTTTTTTTTTAATTTTTCAATTTTATCGCTGATAAATCAAAGATCAACTTTAATTACCGTATAATCACCGCAGATAATGTGAAATTTCGCGATTAATTGTTTCACTTTTAAAACAGCCAAAATCATTATAATTAGAGATGTACATACTCGAACGATTTTGTAATTGACGTGGAAAACATCGAACACGTTATTAATATGTACAGTAATTAGATATAATTAATAGGGTATTAAACACATTCTACACCAATTAACTAACCATTTGATATTTTATACTCTGGAAATTGATCAAACGTTTAAATTCATTTATTGGATTATATTGATGATTTGTATTCGGTGGTGTAACATCTTTCTTCCTTGCAACAAAACCGTTTCAAAATTCTTAATTCAATCTTACATTAAAATTCTTTCAACTAAATGTGTATATTTTTTTCACCTATCTGAATACTTCGAAAGTACTGATTGTTATGAAATTGGCCGTACCATTGATAATTGATAAAATTTTCGTGGATCTGCACAAGAGATTATTATTCCAATTTTATGTTTGCTTTCAAAAATTAGAAAATTATCTTTTTGTCGGAAAATTAAGAAAAGATGTAGTCAATTTCACGTTATATTTATCACCATATTCATCGTCTTTAATTAATATTTATTATACGCATTTATTGTCGAGTAATCACCGTCTAAATACGAATCTGGTTTTTGATTCTATAACGAAAGTGTTCGCCGCGGGATATCACTTTGTTCAATATTTTCATCTCCAGTAGCATTTTAATACAGTTTTCTAAATTTCCACAGAGCTTTGGCTCCCCCATAACGAACGTAACTAGTTTATACACAAAGTAGACTACATAATGTTCTCCGTTGCACGGCTAATACGATAATAAAGCAGCAACAACAAACGAACCATCTCCGTCGACAGATTGTGAGCATAAAAGGACATTCCCTTATATAATTTCATGAAAATCCGATAGAAAATATTAACATAGCCAGTCAATGGCACAAAGCTGAATAAGAATATTGTTTATGTACAATGTGCATACATATTTCCATACTGTTAACTGCGATTAAATTAACTTATAAATCGAAATATTGAAATTATTTTTATTACCGTACAGCTATTAAAAAAGATTTCAGACTGGTATTATTTATTGTTGTTTATTAAATTAAATATCTAATTGACCGGAATTTTAAAGAGAGATTTTAATAATCTATCTATATTATTAAATGTTATAATTAACTAAATTATTTGTGAAATTATTTATAAATAATAACACACTTATTTAGGTAAATTTTAAATTTTCTGACAGTTTTATTAATTTTTAATAGTTTATTATAGTTTTCAAAAATTATTTATATTAAGTATTATAATATTAAGTATCATAGATTAATTTCATTAATAATTTTTTCATAGTTGGAGTTTATGTTTAATTTATACCAAGTTGGCAATAAATGGAAAGAAAATTGGTATTGTTAGAAATATAAGGAGAGATATTGGAGAATCGCATAAATCTTGAAATGATAACGTCAACGTAATTATTAATTCAAAATTAAAAGTGGTTGCTACGCTCTCAGTCCATCGAAGGGTTAACAACAAACAATACAACAATATACATTGGAAAATTCATTTTTTAACGAAATCACAAGAAAGTAAAACAAATACCTGCTTTGAGATTTTTTGGTAATTAGGGCTTTATATTCCGTTACATTCCCCCGCGCACGTTATTTCTCTACGTAGAAAGCAGTGGTGTCACTCTGCGAATAGTTCGGTCAATCCTGTGAAAGTTTCTATAGGGTTCCTCTACTCACTGAAACCATTAAACACTTAGAACTAGTGAGTTTATAGCAAGTTAATTTGTTGCTAAAGTGCAAATACGAAAATTCGAATGTGTACCTGTTTACCAAGCGGTTCGTTAGCTTCTACCATTAGGAAAATATTCAACATCAATCTTTTCCAAAAAAAATTTTATTCCACGTTACACGTTTATTTTTCATTTTTTTCTTTCTATTTATCAGACACTGCATAGCAGCAACTTCCTATTTAATAATGTTCAACTAATAAATATTTTCTCCCCGATTAAAATATTCCATCTTTCTTTCTTTTTTCTTCATTTTTCAAAACTTTTCGAAATATTCGAAACTTTTTGTATTTCGAAAATGAACAAAAAATAAAAATGTCGCAGAGAGAACAGATGAAACATCAATCTTCTCACATGTTTCGAAATAAAATAAACGGAATGTTTTAATCGAGGAAGGGGATATCTAACTCGGTAAAGGAAATAATTAATTTTTCGATAAATTTTTAATTTAGCCGCTTTTGACTATTTCACTATTTCTCTAGCAAGATGTCTATTTTATCACTAAAGCGAGAGATCAGAAAAGTTGTATATAGTTCTTGTTATTTGAAAGGAGAAAGAAAACGTCGTATTACAAAAATTATAGGCCAACAAAATAACCAAAATAACCAAAATTATTGAACTAAAAATTTACCAATTTTTTTTTCATTCGACAGCTAGTGTTTATTCGAAAGTATAATCAGATTACGTGTATTTGCCGTAAAGCGGTATAATCAGACTGGGTTCTCGGAGCAAGCCTGCACACAGTTGGCACAAGAAATTCGTGACGAGCGTTACGTTCACGATGCAATTCGCCGGAAATGCATTCGTAGCATTCGAATGCTCACTCAGATTAAACGGGCTGGCAAAAACGAATCAGCAACCGACGTGGTATCGAAGGTGCAGATGTAAAGAACGGCTCGGTCAGTTAACATTAATTTCGACCGCGCTATTATGAACTTTTTTGCGATGTGAAATCAACCGCGGTTGTTTGGTAAATGATTACCGACCTGCTAAACGAATCGATGAACGAGCTATGTACGCGCCGGCATGATTGCACGCGCACACCATAGCACAGATTTCAGTGAATATTTCAACAAAATATTCAAAAGCGAGAAGTATTTGCCCCGTGAACCTATTATTAACGAGGAAACAATTATTCCTAACCAGTTGGAATTGTTTTTGACTTTACACCCGACGTGTTCATTCATTGTAGATTTTTTGCCTGGCCAATGTCTGATTTATTATAATACAATTTGTATTACAATTACAATTCATTTGATGAAATGAAATCTGAAATCGACGAAATGAAATTTGAAACAATGACAATGCATTGTGCATTATTTTTCAATGTATTTTTGTAAATAAAAGTACCACCCACAATTCTCATGGATCGTGAATCACATGTAGATACATATCAATGCCTCAAGAAACATTTTGATTTAGATTTATAACATTTTCAAAGAAGCACAGTATCTTTAGTTTTGTGGAAAAGGAATTTAGGAATCATTGTTGCATAATTTCTCGTTATGAAATTACGACGGTTTAAATACTGTCAGTTTTTCGAAACATTCGAGATTTGTTTTACGTAAGTTTGTGACCGCCGCTGTACGCACACGTACATACATACGTATGTGTATGAACGTTTTCCACGTAAACTGCAATTAATTTCAGTGAATTTGAGAAAAAAAGAGAGAAAAGAATATATATAATTGTAATTGTAATTAAAAACTAGAAAATACCAGTACGCTCTTGCAACGAGCGAGGAGCCATAGTCCAGAAATAAAATGCGCGAGATTGGAGCTTCAGATACAGTTAAAGCTCACTTGGCTGTTGATGTTACAAAAGCTTCGAGTTTAGTATTTAATTGATTAAAACCATTCTCGGTTGTACCGAGTAGAACTTTATAGAGCTACACATTGGGAAACAGTAGTTCGAACATTCTCTTGCTCCGCAAAGGTTTTAACAACTTTCAAGCACATGTGGAGTACTTGCGTTTCAACATGTCATTAACGTTCTGGAACTTTGCTGTTTCAATATAACTTAATGAAATGCATTCCTGTCTGTGTGACGCGTATAATCTGCTCTCTGACGTTATCAGTTCATCGCTGACGCGATAGTATTGTTTAACACGTTATCGATGCGATAGAAATATTTATGCAGAAAATTATCAATGTCATAAAAGTATTTCATCTGTTAATCGAACACTAAAGATTTTTGTAATCAATTTTACAATTACAATTTTAAATTAATAATTGATTGTGACAAGCACAACATTTGAAGAATTACATGTTTGTGTCTACCATTTTGATTATTTGCTGTAACTCTTACACCGAGTTGGTAAAATTATAAAAATTTTTAAATAAAATTGAAAATTTATTTTAGCAAACAGTAAAACACATTGACGATAATTGATGGATATACACACTTGAATACAAGCAAAGAAATAATGACTCGTTTAACTCAAAAGATTGGGATCCCAATCAACTCGTTCTTTCAGTTTTCACAAATTAAATCTCTTTGCAAGAAAAAGAAAAAAAGAAAACAAAACCAAGAAGGTGACCTATTACTTTGACAAGTTTTACCATGCAACAATTCTAACGAGCATTCGATTCTGTTACAGTGAGAACTGTAGAGGGATCTGTCTTCAATATCACTAAGATAAACCGATTACAAATGGGCGCGTATCTGTGCATCGCTTCAAACGGTATACCACCTACCGTCAGTAAAAGAATAATGCTAACAGTACAGTGTGAGTATCTTCTGCTACAGTATTCTCTAACACGACACGTTCTAACCATACATGTAGAGTATTAGATGTCCCTTGCAGTGAGAGAAATTTAATTTCTGCTTACAGTCAGTCCGATGATTTCGATCCAAAATCAATTGGTCGGAGCGCAGGAAGGCCAGAGGATGACGTTGGAATGCAATTCCGAAGCTTTCCCAAAGTCGATCAATTACTGGACGAAAGAAAACAACGAAATTATAAAAAATGGTATTTAAGCACGATTGCAGCTGGAATGCGTTTTCTTTTCTTTTCTTCTTTTCCTTCTTTTAGATATTTACATCTGTAGAAAGAGATGTAAAAATCGCGGCACTGTCAACTGAATGTTCTAACTTGCTTGTTCGGCTCGATCTCGTTTCTTTTTTTTTTATTTTTTTTTTTGGTTGGAATAAATCGCAGCAAAGAACTCTCATCCGTTTTCCTGAATTTAGCAAAATGAATTTGTGCCTGAATAAACATGGATTTGTACATGAATTCAATGAAACGAACAGCGTTCCGTGATTGAACAACCAAAAATTTATAATACAGCGACGACGTATAATCAACTTCCATGCACGGAACATACCGCGAGCATTTAATTAATCGATAGACTACAAATGATCGTGCATTTATACGAAATTTTTATCAAATGTTAAAATACATGCGAAAAATACTCGGAGGATTTATTGCAATGTTCAATAAGCGAAACGATTTTCTACTAATGGTAGAGCGTTCTTTAAAATACCAGTTTGCACAAAACGTCCGTTATCTGTCAATTGACATTTACACCGCGTGCATTTCGAAACTTTGACGAAACACAAGCCAGACACACTTTGCTCGGAATGAAATAATTTATTACGTCCAGGTAAAACAAATTCCCGGTTTCTCCATTGAGATTTCATCTTGGATGTTTCGTATAATATTTCCGCGCAGCATCCATTTGTCATCTCCGGTTGCAACACGCAAGTAAAGTAGATAAAACCAGTAATGTCACTGTCAATCATGCTTCTTATCGTTAATTCACGCGATGCGCAAACATCTACCCTTGCTTTAAGAACTGCCGTAAGCACACATTATACGGAAGGTGTCGCTCTTTTTTACAAGCAATCTTTATCGTTACCCTTTGGAAGCACGAAGAAGCAAGAAGAATCTATTAAAAACTGTTATTAAAACTATTAAAAAATTGAAAATTTCAGGATCCTCTCAATTACACTTTGCGTGAAACGTTAGCATGATATTGTAATTATTCTAAACTTTATTTTCGAGTTTCTAGCGAGTTTAAATTTTGAGTTTTGAGTCTGTGGTGAAAATCTATAAAAACTAGTCTTTTAACAAATGATATATATGATATATATGATATATAAATTTTATTTTACATATAATATAATTTTTATTTAACATCAGATCACTGAGATTCTGAGCTTTGTAATATTTATTACAAAAGAGGAATGCACGAACTTAAACGCGATTTTACAAATGCCAAGTAACATTATCTACGTATATACATAAATAAATAATGTCGCGCGATGAAAGATTGACATGAAATTTAAGCACATAGGAGACTTACACAGGGAACGAAACGTTTGCACGGTTGTAATGGACATGTCGCTGGACTGCTAATTCACTGAAGAGCGATTGAACCGTACTGATCAACATAGTTAATGCTGTTTTATTAACGAGTATACGTACAGTATACGGCACATATGTACCGTACATTACTGGAACGGTCTAACAACGTCGCAGTCGGATACACGGGAATGCACGGAGCCATAATTATTTCGAACAACGAGACTTTGGTATTAAACTTTTCACACGCTTACTTCCATGACGTTTAACGCACATCTCTCTGTGTTGCAAACTAAAAACTAAAGTACAACGCGTCTAAAATTTCTTTCTTTGTGCTCGAGAAAGTTTGAAAAATATCAAGCTATCTTCCACGTTCCACGTTTCCATCGACATGAAGAATCAAATAAATAGTACGTAACATTATGTAATTTCTTAAGATAGATCTCTTTCTAACTGAGAAGTCGTGAAGGGTGGTAGACGATAAGCATTACAAGTAACTGAAATATCTTCTAAATTAATAATTTTTCGACAAACATATTGTATACAGAACGTCGAGCCACATCTCAACTAAATTAAATTTAAGTATGCAATTGAATTTGTTCAATACGTAATCTTAATTTGATAAAAATATCAAAAAAAAAAAAAAAATCAAAATAGATTAAAGCAATAATTTAGATCAGCGATAATAAATTTGTTTCAATTTTAATAAATATTCAATTCGCAAAACACTTTCGTTTCCGTTCGTTCTAATAAGACCCCGAGGAACAACATCTTTATAGAATACAATCTAAATGAATTTGACACTAGTTAATTCGTTTCACTTCCAAATGTTATTATTTATAAATATATAATACACATAAATATTACATTATAATAATTGCCTACGTTAGCTGCATCACGATAGTGAATATTCAAAAACACTGACGTTCCTCGCCAGCACACACAGTAGAGAGAGGAGAAAAACATGGGATCATCCTAGACATTGCTGTCGAATACACACGAATGCACGTTCGCGTAATTATTTCTGGATAATGAGACACGATATTCGCGAAGGTCGCGTGGTGTACCACGCGGAATAATGCGTCCTCGGATCTGCGCGGATTAATACGTACAGTTGCCTCCGACTCGATCTGATGAAGATGCAGTAAGAAAGCCAACCGCGCAGATGATCCTTCTGTGCAAAGTCGCTAATCACGTAACTAATTAGGTCAATTTCGGATGCTGTTCGCGCAAGATTTAACGACGAAATGTGCTTTACCGCATTATAGATCCTACCGATGCAGGTAGAATCTATACTAATTGCCCTTGTCGTTCACGTTAACCTAGATGTTACACATCCCGCACGTGATCACATTCTGAAAACTTTGTCTTTTTTTCACACTTGTTGCTTCGCTATTCACGTTTCACCGATAAACCACGAAATGCAAATGACCCGTTAAGCATCTCGTTTGAAAGCTACAATTATTGTGAATAATATTGTCTTTTACAAAATTTCCCTAGAGATGTCTCGAAAGAAGCGGGGTGTACTTGCTAGAGTATTCATATTTTCCAATGAGTGACAATTTTATCGTTGATAAGACTGTACGACTGTGATATTCGTCAAAATCATTCTTTAGACAGTTCTGCGTCGCGTTGTTTCCGACAAAACATATTTATCTGCAAATAATAAGATTTGAACAAAATTGACATTCACTCGGAACGACTAACTTTGGAATATTACACACGTCGACAAACTAACAATTCAAAGTGCAAACATCTGGAAATTTCATCGCCAAACAAAATGTCCGATTTTTTCATATTCTTCAGCTACAGCGAACGTTTGTATATTTAAAACAATCGTAAGCTAATGCTAATAACAATGAAAATCCGTTTAACTGTTAATTAACACAGAGATATATCCTATTGATCAACAATTCACTGAACGCAAGGAATCGTCATTTTGATCGTCATTGTGAGTGTGAAATTCAAATATCGCTCACTCTCGGCCTGGTGAGATTATTCTCGGCATTCTGTTCGTCGCGCAAAATCTCATTACATGGCTACCACACCATGGTGAACAATTGAACCTAGAACTCGTCGTGCTTAACTTTGTTTGTACAAGTTTGGCACTATGCATTTTTACATTTATGTTGTTCGATCTTCTCCCATTTGGTCGTTTATTGCTTCGTTGCTAAACACGACATGAAATTACAAGGCAGTATTTGCAGTATGGATAATTTATGATTATTTAATAGCGCAAATATCATGTGGCAGCACAACCAGCTAAATATTTGGTATCCCGTATGAATAGCGCGGTAGTAACTAGGTAGTACGTTATATCAGTATATAAGCCTAACTGGTGGCACATCTCTGCTAGTTATACCAGACAGAATAGAGAAACTGAAAATTACAAATAGGTTATCACGACACGTTGTGTTACGTTCTGTTCTGAATGTTAGTTGCGCAATGCCCTGCGGTACCACAGTGTAACAGATACGACATGCTTTACGATTTAACGTCCATCCGATATGCCGCTTCATTAATATGAATTTAGCACAGAGAAACCGTTCGAACGAGATATTAAATATCCCTTCCCCTCTTTTTCTGCGTTTCATTATTGGCTGGGAAACAGATGAAAAATGATTGCCCCTGTTCTTGCGTTCGTCCGCCATCAGACGTCATTTTATTTTACAGCGTATGCAAAAATCTGATTTCTAATTCTAAGGGAGTTTATAATTGTGCAGCAAGTACAAGAAGGACACATGTACATCTACAGTGAAGAGTGTTACGTAATAAAATATTGAGATTTCTTGAGTTTTTGTCGTTTAATCGTGATGTTCAAATAGCTTCCATAATGGTGGAAAAAAGTCGTACTGAAAATCGCTGTGAAAAAGAAATTTTCAATTTTTTGGAAAACTAAGACAGTGGATCTGATTTTGAAGGAAATTCTTTTATATTTTCAGAGAAGTTTTCAAAAGGAAGTATCTTTATTTTTTTATTTGCTACATGACGTAAACTCATCTTCGATGAATTCAGAACTGTCAAAGTAGAGATTTTACGCTTTTAAATGAAACCAAATATTATTTATTTGTACAAAGTTGTAATAGTTTAAATTATGCTCTTTATTGTATAATATATATATATATATATATTTTTTTATATAGGAACATAAAATTATATTGTATTATTTAATACAGATTATATAATTATATATTTCTGTTTAAATTCGACGATAACATCCGACGAATAGATAACATCCGTCGTAACAGACGTTTGATAGTCATGGCTTGATCTTTGTTTGCAAACAACATGGGAGAGTGAGGTGAGTTAGATGTTCTAAGAATTATTTGTCTTGTGTTCGTTCGCCTCTCGTTGTCAGTGCGTCGGAACGAAAACAAGAGACAACGACGAGAAACATTAGGAGGAGGAGTAACAAATAGAAGGAAACAGCCATTTGGACAATAGTCAGCCAATAGCATGCCCACTTTTACCGAAATAGTTTCGAACTTCAAATTTAAAGTCACGCACACATACAATGTATATCGTTTGAAAATATTTTTTTAACTAGAAAGCTCAACGAGAAATAGACAAAAAATTATAAAATAAACGAAGATGTCACAAATATTGGTCTCTTTTGGCTTTCAAAAATTTTTCAAATTAAAATCTTTAAATTTTTTTAAATAAAG